TAAGTAATAGATTTCATTACAAAAAATATATAAATTATGTTTGTAATATAATATTAATTGTTATATATGTAGGACATTTAATATCTGTCATATTTGTGTTTTGCAGAAGGAAATAAATATCACAAGCAGAATGTGAGAATAATGAAATTTATTACTTATCTTTATATTTGCGTGTAATCCACGGTGCTCGGTCACGGCGAGTCCTGCGGAACACTTCCCACGCGAACGTTGTGTTTACTTTTATGACACTACGTATATGTCATTTCTCTCCTATCGTAGTTAATCACTGCGCAGACGTGCCCCGCAGACGGAGCAGCGACTCTCCTTCTTCTGAAGTCGGAATGCGTTCCTAAATTTGCTAAAAACGACCTACCAACCTTTAAGTCTGCGACTATACAGAGTGAAATACGTTACAGTAAAAAATTTGTAAAATAAGTGATTGATCAATTATAATTACCTATATCAGAGTGCAATAATGGAGAAATAATCAATAAGCGGACAAAATCCATGAAAAAAGAGAGGACAACGTTGGCAACCTTCAAAAATTCCTAGGATCCATAAATTCATTTCTCAAGGTTAATATCATTGACTAAGTTTACACGGCAGCTTAAAAGCGGTTTAGTAATAATCGTATTTAGTAAACTCTCGCATCCGATTGGTATATTCTTTTAGATCTAGAAATATACTTCAAGCGGATTCAAGAGTTCACTAACTACGGTACTTACTAAACCGGTTTTAAGCTGCCGTGTAAACAAAGTCATTGTCGGACGGGAGAATGTACAGAGGTGTAGAGGTGTTAGCAATCTAGTTTAGTATAGACATCTGTGAACTCGAATGAACATCAACGCCACCACACATAAGAGTGACTCAAAGTGCGTTCGGAAACGTCACTCGGATGCACTGGAATGCTGCGTTGGAATAAGAAAGAAACCAGTGAGAGAGAGTGTGTGTGTGTGAGTGAGTGAGTGAGAGAGAGAGAGAGAGAGAGAGAGAGAGAGAGAGAGAGAGAGAGCATTCAGGGCTGCGTTCCAAAATTTTACTCGGTGAGTAGAATACATTTAATTGATCAATCATGATAAATAAATTCGTTATCTTTGTTCTTATTTGTTAATTAAATGCAACTTTACCCATCGAATAGTTTTGGAACGCAGCCCAGGGTACCTACATGGACATAGTATACATGGACTCCGAATGCCCTATGTTCTGTCATCTAATAGAGTGAAGCCAATCTAGAAAGAGAGCGATAATAGAGGGGCTATAGTTTTCTTTCTATTTTGTCACTTTTTTGTTGCGCGTGCATCCATTTCTCGTTTCCATAATATTATAGAGCGCAACAACACCCCGACTAGACTAGCAAATAAAAGTCTTACTTAAATGTTATTGCACTTTGTCTGTGCAGAAAGAGACAGAGAACAGAGGGGCTGTACATATTGGCTTCTCTTTTCTGACTGTATGCGGAGTCTATGGCTGGTATTCATAATCGGTTTTTATATTTAAGATCATCTTAAGTTCATCTTCATATGCTGTACGGATCATTTTATTGGCTATGGAGTATCTGAAGGTAAACTTAAGACGGTCTTATGCAGGATTCACACCGCGTCCGATATCCGACGTACGACGTCCGATATCCAATAGGAGAACAGCTTTCTAAAAGTTGTTTTACATTAGTTGCAAGCCGATCGCAAGCAGATGCAATTTTTATTGCGACAACCAATCAGAAGCATCAATGGTGCTATTGACGCTTCTGATTGGCTGTTGCAACAAGAGTTGCAATCGACTTGCAACTAATATAGAACGACCTTTATATAGAATTCAATTCTCCATTAGAAAGCTATTCTTTTATTGGATATCGGACGTCGTACGTCGGACATCAGACGCGATGTGAATCTTGCATTAAATATAAGATCTGATTATGAATACCGGCCTATGTATATTATGTCTATGGTCTCTTTCTACATGTTGGCTTCACTTTTCTGGCCGTATGCAGGGTCCATGTATACCTACGTCCATGGGTACCTATTAGGGCTATCGTACACAAATTGACATAACTGCATATGCATAGCATAAGACCGTATGTACCAATGAGCATCGAGTATTAAGTCGCCATATTGGTGTTCGATGCTTAATATTCGATGCTCATTGGTCCATACGATCTTATGCTATGCATATGCAGTTATGTCAATTTGTATGCGATAGCCCTTAGTCTCGATCTACAAGGTGTAGTAAGTTTTAAGCCGTAATAAATTAACCAATCATAATTATTCCTCTATAATTCCACTATGATTGGTCAATTTCTTAAGACTTAAAGCTTACTACACCTATTGAGTACTTTCCAATTGCTTAACACATTTTGACACACACGTACACAAAACCAGTTTATTGATCACATATTATCTAACATATCTTATAAGATAATGCAACCAATAAACTAGTTTTGTGTAACAGTGCACGCAACTGGAAAGCACCCATAGTAGATCGGGACTAATGGACTTCTTCCAACGACGATATATACATAGACCAAGCATTCTATCCATAAAATGAAGCCGGAAGTTGGCAGTTTAAAACAGAGTGAGAAAGTTGATTTGCCTCTATATGTTTTCTCACTCTATATTATTGTCAAGAAGAAGGGATCGTTTAACACTGCAAATATGGGCGCATTCAGTAGAAAAAGCGCTCAGTGAGCAATCAACGATTATTGGTTCTTGCTATTAGATCCCTAAATCTAGACCAATTACATTGACAAATTACTCAACTGTTGTGCAACTATTGAGTCTGCTGAATGCAGCCTATGCTAAATAAAACAATGTGATTGATCCATTCGTCGCTCTGAAGCACTTACAGCACTAAATAGAACTATTTACAGCACTAAATCTGATCTAAGAACTGTATCCCGTCATAATAATCTAACCTTTTTCAGACAGGTGACAGCAGAGTGAGAACAGGATAAAAGCAATTGCTGTGATGATTTATAAACAACATAAAATATTATAAATATCAATTTTATGTCGAGATAAGTGAAATATACGGTTTTATTCTTTTAATTCTGCACTAAATTATATATAGCACTTGATAGCTTGATAGCGGCCATATTCTTTCTATACGATAGGATAAGAAAGCATTAGGGGCAAATCAACTTTCTTACTCTGTTTTAGACTGTCAACTTCCGGCTTCACTCTCTGCTACAATAGAAGTATAGGAATGCTTGGTCTATGTATGTACGTCATTGGATGCTTTCCAGTTGCGTACACTGTGTTACACAAAACCAGTTTATTGGTTGCATATTATCTTACAAGATATTTTAGATAATATGTAACCAATAAACTGGTTTTTTGTACGTGTGTGTCAAGATATATTAAGCAATTGGAAAGCACCCATTGACTTCTTCGTAGAGAACCTCTAGTACAGAGAATCGCCAACTTGGTCATGTGACCAGCTACTGAGCGATTGGCTGGCATAAACATGTACGGATTTGGACATTGCGACGCCGATGCAAAGCCACATATATATATATATATATATATATATATATATATATATATATATACAGGGTGAATATTATATACCGGAACACCTGAATATCTCGAAAACAAAGCGTTGTATAAAAAAATGTTAAATACAAAAGTTGTAGGGTTTAAAAAGATCTATTTTATGATGTTAGCAGTTTGACCTTGAGTTGCGTCATAAAGATCAGGTCAAGGTCATAATGATGTTTTTAAATGGATACCCCTATTTTTTATTGTATATTCTTGTAGCTTATCTCGAGAGCTTTCCAAAACACTATACTTAAGTATTTTTTCGTTAAGTACTTTTCGAGTTAAGAGGCTTCAAAGTTACGCT